CGCCTATATGGTCATGCTCGTCGCTAAGCTATTCCAACTACGACCGTGACTAAGCTTATAAATATCACTACCTATCTTTATAATAAAACTTCCACCCTTATGTGGACTACTTCTACTATGGTGACTCCTACCCTAACACCTAAGTAGATATTAACTCCTAAGCCGACGGCTTTAGCTATATCGACTACGTCCTCCACGAAGACTACTTCCTCTATTATTGTTTCTACCTCTACTAGGGCTTTATCTACTCCCGCCGCTATCGCTTCCTCTAGCGCCATCGCTTCCTCTAGCGCTAGCTAGACCGAGATACCCGTAAACGGCGTCTACTCCACCTCTGGATTTGGTGCTTCTACTAATCCCTCTGGCTCGGGCGATACCTATATTGGTAACGTCGGCAGCCCTTATAGTAGTAACATTATCACTATTTCTCCCTCTAACGCTAGCTCGTATAAGTATGTTATCTAGTTTAATGGTTCTAATACTGAAGACTAGTAAGTCGTGATCTAGAATAAATATAGCTCTGACGGTACTATGGACGGTTGGTATGGAAAGGCTTACTACTCTTTTACCCTTACCGCTGGTGAGACCAAGTACTAGGCTTTCGATACTAATTCGTAGGGCGGTTGGGCCGCTACTAAGGGCTCTACTATCCCTACTAACGCATATAGCTCTTACGCTTCTACCTGGGGAGAGTTCGATTTCGGTTCCACTATTAACTCTGGCTGGTCTGGGTTTGACGTTTCGGCCATCACTGCCTAGGAAGCTAATATGCCTGTCTAAGGTATGAGGATCTATGATGTTTATAACACTTATGGCACTTGCTCCTCTATTACTACTAGTGCTAGTACCGTTACTAACGCTTACACCACTACTCTTAGCACTAAGGGTGGTATTGGTGGTAGCCTTTCCGCTGGACCTGTCCGTTTGTCTGTTATTATTGATTATAATGTTTAAGCGCCTAAGTTTGGTAGAAGACTGCTATCACTAGGTTATGTCTTATCGTCCTAGTGTTAGGGAATGTACTAATCAATTGGAAGATGGCTACTTTAGATAGTTTATGGTCTTATATAGCGTGATCTATGATTTTTACCTACGATGCCCTACGTGTATACTTATTCCTAATAGCCTTTCGCTTATGAATACTCTGTATGTATGACTATATAGACCTTAAGAAGAACTGTACTAAGTTCGGAACCTTAAAGCCGATCTGACCTTGCTATAAACTGACCGAAAGTATATACTATAAAATGTAAGCTATTAAATATACCTAATACATATGTAATATGTATAGAGTATCGTGGTAGTTTGCTATAGGCTATTATCTTGGTTTCGAGGGCTCTGGCTTGTTTTCTAGGGGGACGCGGACTAGGGCGGGAGCGAAAGTTAATCGTTTGGGAAAGTCAAGGTCGAGAGTATAGCTAGAAGAATAACGACTAATGAATATGGGTGGCTAGGTCTTTTCGATATTCTTACTCCTATGATGAGCGCTTATCATTACTAGTTTTCGCAATTTTGCTCTAGTTAGCGATGCCATGTTCCTGCTTGATGCTTTTATATTCCTTGTAACCCCTCCACAAAAGCCCGGCGAGAGAAAGAAATTCACGTATAACCTGAGAGTTAGCCAGAAAAAGTATGGTTCGTTATATATTATAGTTGACTTGAATATCTAGTTAAATGCCGGTTAGGTAGTCCGTTGAAGCTGTCCGCTATAGTAGTCGTCTTCTACACACTAACCATAATAAAGTAAACTTAACGCTCTCTAGCCACACTAGCGACCTTAAGTAAATCGTAATGAATTTTATTCTAGTGGGTGTCTCTACTATGGTCGATTGCTATCTATCATAACCGCTCTGTTATGACTATTAAATCAAATTGCCCAACATCCAAAGCTATGGTTGTGATCATGGAGTCAAACGTAGTGCTATTCAATGTGCAATCTTGAATGATCCTCAACTTAGTATGTGGCGGTCAATGAAAGATTTGCTCTCACGCACTGGTAGGGGTCTAGAGAAATCAGAAACATTCGTTGGAAAGTAAGGTCTGTTCAAACGCCAATATGCTAAGATTGCTAATAGTCTCGTCTTCCTCCCTTGTAGATGGCACACCGCATAAGATACCAATTTCTAGTTGATTATTTTTCTTTAGCTAAAGCTCCTTTATTAAGAGGCTAGAAGTAGACATAGAAGCGGTCCTGACATTCCTAAGACATAAAGATCTTATATTGCACGCTATGAGACGGATTGGATTAGAAAAAATTTCAAATATTGTCCGCTAGCCTCCCCATATTACGTCTAGAAATCATAGTAGGTAACTTGTTGGGTTATGCCTGGAATATTCTTAAAAGTAGTAAAATGGTTTGGTCTGGAGGTGGTATATGTCATTGTTATTCGTCGATCGTGTTAAGGAGATCTTCGTCTTATCCAATCTATATTTCCCTTAGACCATCCTATAGTATGTCTCTTACTAGAACTTAGAGAATAGCCACTAAGCTGATTTAGGATATTACCTTAAGCCTTGGATAGATAGAGCCGACTGAATTCAAAGAAAATATCCAGTTATAGATGGCTAGTTAGGAAAACTGGTTGATTCGATGAGAACTGTAATAACGGGGGGTGAAGCAAATTTGCGGTTCGTATTTTCTAAGACTTATTTGTGTGCCTGTGAGATTAATTCTTTAAGATAGTTGGTGGATGGTAGGTAGATATCATGGATTCTGGCCCCTCACCGTAATCAATTATGTGACTAGACTAATACACGAATCTATACTAAGTATATAGTAACCTGGCTCATAAATCACTAGGCGTGTTGATCTAAATGTTGCGGCCCCTGCATGCCCGGGGGTCCTATCATGAACAATAATATTGTTGTGGTGCGAGAAAGCATGGAAGCACTAAGTTAGTAGTGCTAAACGAGCTCTATGAAAGTGGTCTATTGGTTGCGCTAGCGCCTCTATTCTACTTCCTGTTTTCGCCTTCTTCCGCCTATAGATAACGAACTTGATAATTTAGGTGCTGGGAGCGTTCATTGGCTTCTATAGATGGAATAGATAAGAGAGAGTATTGCGCCCCAGAAATCTATGATATGATATACCCCCGCTAGTGGTCTGGTCTACTTGCTGATGTCGACCAGCTCCCGGCGAAAGTAATATCCTACAACCAAACACGTCGAGGAGAATATTGGATGAATCTCCTAACGCTATAAAGTTTATTCACGTACCGATTGATCCCTATACAGAATCAGCTTCAATGAGCTCCATATTCTCGATTGCGGAAATATATAAAGATGCAATTCTAAAGTACCATGTCACGTTCTCATTAGTTCATTCTAGCACTGGTGCATATGGTTGGAAGTATCCGATAAGAGAGCTCGTTAAAATCGTTGTTAGGCTTAGACTCCACTAAGAGATGGTTAGGAATGGTGAAGGATAGTAAAGGATGGCAAAGAAGTAATAGGGTGATTTTGATTTAACAATTTTCCACTTTCAAATGCTTTAGGGTTACACTACTTGCCACATTGTTTGACTAATAGTCCGATGATTTTGGGGTGAGGCGATCCGGTAACATGGCGGACTACCGGGCCGTTAAAGACTTCATCGACTCTTATTCCACAGTTTTTGACGCCAACCAAAGGGCTTCAACTTCAAAAGAAAGAAATAAGGAACTTCTCTTCTACAGTAGTTTTCGAAATCAGTTATACCTCAAAACTCTTGGGACTTCATTCCCGGAGAATAAATCCGTCCTATGTGAGCTATGATTGGATAGGGTTTCCTATGCCCTCATTTCAGACCGCTTTCTATAATAGTCTATGTATTTTACAATACAATCTTCGGACCAGAAGGGATGTATTTTACACGAAATTGCTCATACACACGCTACTTCCCTGGCCCGTTTTCCCCCCGTCACTCAACAACTTCCCGAAACATCGCAGTCTTCCCACTCTAGCTCCCAATCACTCCAAAGCGAAGTGAAATGGCTCCAAGACTCTCTCCTGCAAAGCTTGTTCTCATTCGTGATATGATAGAGAGCCAGTCCTTTACCACATCTGAAATGGCGGAACAGGCTGAATGTAACAAGCTGACCATCATCAACATCCGCAGAAACTTACGACAATTTGGAAGCATTTACGCCCCTCAAACCCGAGTAGGTCGCAAACGAACTGTGACACCACTGATGATTGAAGCCCTCTGTGATCATCTATGCGAGAAACCTGGTCTGTATCTCGATGAGATGGCTGTGTTCCTCTGGGACGAGTTTCAGTCCATGGTTACAACTTCTAGCATCAGGAGAGCCCTTGTCGCTAAGGGTTGGTCGAAAAAGTCTGCACGGCAACGTGCTAGAGAGCAAAATGCTGATTTGCGAGATTATTATCTGCACAATTTGTCAGACTTCAAATCGTACCACCTCGTATACGTTGATGAATCTGGATGTGACAAACGCGTTGGATTCAGACGGACAGGTTGGGCACCACTTGGCAAGGCCCCTTTGCAAGTGACGCAATTCCATCGTGACCAGAGATACCAGATATTGCCCGCTTATGCGCAGGATGGAATTGTTTTCTCACGTGTCTTCCGCGGTTCTACGGATGCCACCGTATTTGAAGACTTTATAGCCCAATTACTTCAGCATTGCGGACTGGCCAGAACCTAAATCTGTTCTCGTTATGGACAATGCATCTTTTCATCGGTCGGAGCGACTTGTAAAAATGTGTGAAGACGCAGGTGTGAAGCTGATCTATTTGCCACCGTACTCGCCGGACCTGAACCCAATCGAAGAATTTTTTGCTGAACTTAAAAGTTTCATTCGGCGTAACTGGAACTACTACGAAAAAGACCGCGAGAGAGGATTTGATGCCTTCCTTGAATGGTGTATTAACGTGGTGGGTGCAAAAGAAGAGAGCGCCAGAGGCCATTTTCGGCATGCAGGGTTGAAGATCGAACATGTCCCAGGAAGTTGTTAGATCCTAGCTGGAGACGAGCTCCTCACGAACACTCACAGCGTAGCTTACTCATTAAACCAAGGGTCATCCAGGATCTCTCTCGCCGATGCCCTTGCCGACGGTTCAAAACACAACAACCTTCCAATGATTTTTCCAAGCCTCACTATATCCTCTCTTGGGAGATCAGGGATCTGGCGTCCATCAAAATACAATTCTTCCAGCCATTCTTGCAAATTCGGTCCGGGGCTTTCCGCGGTCACGCCGTCCTCTTTATCCATCTTATCCCATATCTTTTGCCATCGTTTAGGTAGATCGTCACTTGCCATCTCGTGCATTTGACTGATGAGAATTGGGGTTGTTATTAAGAAGGTGTCAAAAGGTGGCTGGCCTGTGAAAAGTTCGAAGAGCTATCATGGTTATCAGCTCAGTCGTATATAGCGTTTAGACTTGTATCATTTCACGAACCATGCAGCCCATACTCCACAAGTCAACATGATGATCAATTTTATCCTGGAATATAACTTCGGGTGCTCGAACAGGCAAAGGTGTGTGTAGCGTGTGAGGAACAGTAGGACATGAAAATGATTCTCCGAAGTCAATTATTTTGATTGACTGAGCCGAGTTCCAAAGACAGGTTCGGTATGAGGTAGGCTTCACAATATATTCCGGCACGCCGAGCTCATGGTCTTTCCCATCGCGCCTTTGGACACGACCTATTTCAGGTTTTCCCACTATCTCAAAAAAAGTCTCCTCGGTTATCTTGTCGAAGCAAGGCATGTTGAAGGCCAAATTGCGAGTGTGCAAATCTATTTAATGTGAGACTTATCCGGATTTCTCCCAAGTGAGTGAAATACAGTACCTCCATGTCCAATATTTCGTTGGTGCAAATCATGAAGCCCGGCAAGACTTTGCTTGGCAATGGTTTTAGCAAGCCTTCCGGGGAGTCTCCCACTGGAGAAGTGTGCCTCAATTACGTCCGGAATGTTTGGTCCCAGAAGTTCATAAACGAGGCATTTATGAAATCCATTTGGACCCATTAGATCGAAATCATCGAGCAACTGCACCACATGCGTCAGACTCGGTTGATAAGATGCCAATTCCTTCAGAGTTTGGAGTTCTCGTGTCTCCTTGTCATCATTCTTTTCTGCAGTAGAAATCTTCACAGCGACGTAGCTCTCTGTCCTGCAAGGGCAAATTTCAATTAGCTAAGACTACCGTGCGTTACATTAGGTATGTATAACCTTTGATCTCTCGCGGCCCAAACTGTCGAGTAGCCACCCCATCCTAATTTATGCAAAACCTTATACCTTCCAGCTTTAAGGCATTCTCCTAAGGTGACTGGGTGGTAACCGCCTTGTCGGTAGCGGTGAAGTGGCTCGGCATCAATAGGACAAATATACGTGGGCTGGTCCATCAGACTCTTGTCGGCATAGGTAGACATGGACTTGAGGAAAGTTGAAAAAATTCTAGAGGTAACAATACGTCTCGGTGCAACGCAGACGATGTTCATCACGCTGTACCGATATCGTCGGTGTGGATTATGTTAATATCGTCAGGAGTCCTACGTGCCGTGAGGCAGATGACGTGGCAACAATAGCCAATCACATGATCTGAAAAGCGGCCTCAAACTTTCAAGCGGCAATTGATTGGTCATCAGCGAACCTGTAAAATAACTAATCATGTTAAACGTGTCAGTATGAGACGGGCGCCTATGCACAATTAAAAGAAGCTATTTTGGCCATTGGAGCACCATATCAGAGGCAAAAAGGCGCAAGATGGCGGCGCTAACCAAGCTTATGCAATCCGAGGGAAGAATATATATATTGGTGCCTTTCTGCTCTTGGGAGATACAACACGGAATTTGACACTCATTGAATTGATACCAACAGAACCACTAGAAGCTCAGATATCACCATGTCTCCCATTCCTCGGCATGCTGTTAAGTTCACTCAGAGAATCCGCAACGCTGTTCTGCGTAACCGCACCCTAACGCTCATCGAAACCGCTACGGTGAAGCCCGACCTCGCGCATTTCACCATCGCCACCCTTAAGTAAGCAAAATGTCAATAGCATAAGGACATTGTTTCCAAGGACTTACAATTGCAGGAACCCGTCGCACACGAGTCATACCGACCTCAAGGCGCACGCCACAGCATTATTAGCAACCGAGGAACAATACAAGAACAAGAAAGTCCAGCCAGTTCATATCTACCATGATGAAGAGGGGCGCTATACCGGCCATGTTCTGTATGCTGAAAGAGATATGAAACCGTCGGATGAATAAAGCCACTACGATGAGGTTTCGAACATTATTCTCCATATCATGTTCAGAACGCAATGAAGATCTCCATTGGCTGACGCTGATTCTTGTCCATTTGCCAATACAAATATTTTTTTGGTCGTAATTTTTTAGTGCGTAGAGGTGTTGCCACTTGGTCATGCTTTCAGCTTGTTTGAGAAATTTTGCCCAAATTATGCTACAGTACCGATGGATGTACGGACATTGTCAAGTGAACTAGGCATCTAACATTTTGAGGATCATTTATCAAAAATCGTTGAGTATATCTCTTGGCTCGGACAGTTGACTATGGTGAAAAATTTTGCGGCAAAGAACTCAAATTGTGGTCCTCATATGGGGACTCCTAGCTTATGTTGTCAGGAATTGCGGGCATGAAGAGGCAGGCGTCTAGGAAGATTTACGTAGCTCCACAGCGAGTACATGAATACGTAGACTGATACAATGTAAATTCGGCTATATAACAATACGAAATTATTCTGTGTAATTCAATCGATGTTGCAAAGCCCCAAACGCCGTGATGCTTCAATGACCACCTATCCTGTTTAAAGAATCTCATGAATAGGCACCTCTATCTTCACTTTCTTGACCCACTTTGCGATATTCTCTACAAATCGACGTGCAATGCCTATTTTTATTCCTCTCTCGATGAAAAAATTTGGGTCTTGGTCCTTGTACACTTGCTCGAGGTCAAGGCCGTTCTCGAGCATCACCTCGCAAGTTTGTCGGAATGAAGCTTTGAGGGTATCCCTATCGACGGTCGACACCAACCATTCAGTATACTCCTCCACGGCTCTGTCCGTGGAACCCGGGATCTCGAGGGGGCTCAGAGGCGTCAAGTCAACCGCCGCTTTAGAAGTAGAACCATCTAGCCCATGAACGGTAGACTGTGAGGGCAGGACATTAATATTGATGGGAGGATATGGCACTCCAGTTCCATCGACATGACCTCCTTTGCGCTTGCCTTTGGCGAGTCTCTCTTGCTCTTCCCTGTATAATTCGTCGCGTACGGCTTCGGGCACGTCCGTATGACCCTCCAAAACCCCTCCCTTCTCAACGTGGGTGATAAGACGTTTTATATGATGAGATCTGATTGGATAGTGTTTTTTCCCTATTGGGTCTACCCAGCAATGAGGGCCATGCTGACATGTCGACGAGTCGCATCGCATCAAATTATAGACGCTACGCCAGATTGGCTTTTCACCAGAAGCATTTTCCTCTGCATCAAGTTGTGCATCTCGTTCGCTTAGCATCCTTTGTGTAACAGATGACTTTGCTCTTTTCTCTCCTTTCCGACCAGCGGGTGGAGAAGAGTGATGATCGTCTACGTAGTTGAAACTGATCTTCAGCGTGAGCTCCTTACCCCGGCACAAAACATCTGACCACATCATAAGCTGTTTCTCGATCGCGGTCCAAATAATGTCGGTATCATCAAATCGTTTCGTCAGTTTTCGTTTGGTACGATCGCTTGTCAATACGGTGATGACAGTATCATCAGCTGTCACCCGACGGTGGCGGGCAGTCTTCCGTCGAAGAACTTTCTCGAGCTTTTTCTCCAGAGATAATTGCCAGAAGGAGCTAGGGGCTAAGGTAAGGTCTTCTTCCGTGTCCTGTGAGACCTCCCGATTGTTGATTGTCACTCGCCACTCTATACGGTAATGGATAAAAGTTGGCGTGTCCTCATCATATGCCCTGCCCTCTTCCCACTGGTGCAATGAAAGGAATCGGAGAGGACGTGGGCCACGTTTACTCTTGGGGTCGACGCTATTCTCAAGTACACAGGACGGGGATGGGCTCGAGGCAGACAGCGTGGCGTAGGGGCTGACACAATACCCAGGGGTCGGCGCGTAATCGGAGTTGTGTTCGCACGTTTCATGTTCAATATATTGAGATGCATGATCGACATGATAGCTCATTCTTAAATAATCAGGATCCTTGGAACGTCCATGTTAGCTTTCGGGATGAGCCACATGAAATTCGAGTGGCAACGAATGCACGAATGAGACGCGCCGCAGATGACAGGATCCACGGAGAAAAAGTAAATATCCTTCCCTACCAGGATTAGCTCTATACAGCGTAAGCACAGCCTTCTGTGTGATGACTGGCTGGCGTACAGCGATACACGAAAGGCTACGCTGCATGCAGGAAGACAGAGGGGAAGTGGCAATCCGGGACTGGTGGGAGGGCTGAAAGAGAGCAAACGATCCTGCCAGATCGCTAGATCTATCAAGCGCTTCTAGAGGATTCGATGTACATTACATATTCATTACAATACGTGCTAAAACGTGGTATAGTCATTACCCTCATTTTTCTGCCTAACTATTAGAGCGGTGGCACTAAATAGGATTAGCGCATTTCGGATTTATTCTCCGGGAATGTAGTCGCAAGAGTTTTGAGGTATAACTGATTTCGAAAACTACTGTAGTTCATACTGCAAGGTGATGAGAAACAGGAACTTGATGCCATTTTAATTAACTTCTTGTAGGAAGCCCGGCTAATGTTACCCTGCAGACCCGATATCCTAACTTGGCTAGTTAGTGAGCTGGATCTAATATAAATAGACCATTTCCGATACTCAAATCCAGTTGCATATAGTACACTAGTAATGTCCTATTTTCCTCGCGGGCTGATGCCTCGAAGGACGCGAAAAACATCAGATGCTATAACACTGCTAGACGATGCACCTAGGGTATGCCTTAAGTAGAAAAATCTAAAATAAACCATGCCTCTATCACGCTATAGGAGAGACAAGGCCCTGCTTCGTTTCCGACTTTAAGAGAATCTCTAGTATCTATAAGTCTGGAGACCTGCGAAAATGTCAACCTGGAGAAAGCGGAAGCTGTAGGCCACTGAGCGTGAAACTGTGCGATAGTAATGGATGTAACGACTACGGCCTATGCCTTATCGTCGTTGTTGACGGGTTGTGAATGCTATAAACGACGCGTCCTGAAAGTTTTAATCGTTCGTAAGGTGGATTACTCACTTCTATATATTTGACCACGTCTTGGACTAGGCTCGATAGAACTTGCTGAGTATATATAAGACTCGGGATAGGTGTGAGGTAGTTCCCCGTAAGGTGGGTAGATTAAGGCGCTTAGTGGAATTTGCGGGATAAGTTGTCGATTACCTAGAGGCCATCTTAAAGGGATACCTAAAAGAGGTAATGTCTAATCTTGGAGGTAAGTACGCTGGAAGAAGAAAACCTAACTAGTGGATCCATAAAGATAGAGTAGGTCCTAAAGAGTACAAGCTAGGAGGGTTCCTATAGTATATCTTAAGCTAATAAGACTCTAAAAATGCAAATGGAAGAAGCAATCTCTTTTTTAATTGCGCGTTAACTAGGTATACGTAAAAGATATTCCTGAGAAATATAGATAGTAATGTGAGGGTATCACGTATCTGTTTACGAGGAGCGTGTCTTTTTTAATAAAGGCTTAATATTAATAACAGGAATAGTCGACTCTAGATATAAGATATAGCGCGAGGAAGCAAAAGAATATTAGCTTCCTCGCGTTTAGGGGAACCTAGATGCACTATGTGGGTCCGCGTTCTAGGCTTAGCGTGTATGCCTTATCTATATCCCTGATAAGTATTATAGGAATCACATACCACTTATACAGCACTCCATATTTGTGAGTCAAGCTGCTGTAATAAACTAAAATTATTATTTAATTAGAGCGATTATATAGATAAACTTAAATCCAAGCTATGACTTAAGTCGGTTCCTTATAGAGGCTCTAGGCTATGTTATGGCGAAGGCATATCTATATATGCGGCACGCATCGACGACACGACCAGCCTAGTTAAAAATTCAGGATAATGATCTTGGTGGATGTGAGCATGAATGCGAGTTTGGGGAATATCTAGCAGAAATCAACGAAGGTAATATTGCTTTTCTAGTGGTGCTGGGATGGCCATAATATATTGTGTAAGACTAGTATTATTGGCTCTCTTCACGTCTTTGATGTTAACTTATATGGGATATTGGGCTTAGAGAATATGTTTCGTTCCTGCTTATCTATTGTAAGAATCACTAATCCCCTCTTTCTGATATGATGAATAGTGACCCTAAATAAGCCTAAAGAAAGTGGATTTCTTCTAAAAATGCCTTGTATGTTAGATTCGAACAAGTCTGTTTGGAGTACGCTGACCAGAATTGCTCGCGTGTGGAGACCTCCTTCGCCTAAGACGATATGAAAGCCCGCACTAATCCTTTAGAAGCCTCCTATGATATGGATTGGTTAAACTCCCACCTAAGAAGCGATAGGATAATTTTATCGAAGTTACTTAAGCGACACAAAATCCTCTCTAGATATTTGTCGGTATTTTTTTCGACGCTTATAAGGTCTTTGGCGGTAGGGGCTTCTTATGCACGGCGGAATGTCTAGGGTATAGAGCGTGAAGCGCGGAAAGCCTTTAAGGCCGAGATAACCGCTATATCGAGAAAGACTAAAGGGATCTATATGGATTTATTTAGTATTTTCTACCATTAAAAGAAGGCGTTTACTAACCGTCATCTTAGTATGGAATAAATACTAGCAACTAAGATAATATTTATGATACGTTCTGGCTAGGTGATGTTCTTTATATAGCTGGAATGAACGGGGAAGTATGTTGTGATATGTAGTAGTTATATCACGCTGGCCCCACCCGTCGCCATTTTTTGGAGTACTGTAATTTTGGTAATGGAGCGAAATTGTACGCCTTATAGGCGTGAAAAGAGGTCACGTCCTCCGTGCACGTATTAGACAATGCCTAATCTCGGGGCTCGATATTCCGACCATAATTAATCACGTCCTGGGAATTAAGGGCTCCATAATTTAGTCTTAGGAGGCTATCTTATATATACCGTTATTATAGATCATTTCACTCTAATAAAATCCATCGTTTTGAGATTGCTTATTATGAATTAGACCCGTAAGATAGAGAAAACTTCCTTTAACGACTCTCTGTTACTATGAGGCCTAAATATAACCTCTTCCCCGCTCTTGGCGATAAAACATTACTTTTTTGGGGTTTCGCAAAGCGCCTATATGCGGATCCACCCTGTATGTAAGTTGCCTTCGCTTGCCGTAGTAAACGTGCGATTATGGCGGAGTTTTGGTAATTCTATTTCTATTTCTTGCCAAATCTGTATCAAATAAAATAACCAGCTTATTTATGAGACGGGCTTCTTATCGCATAATACGCTTGTTCCCTTCGCACGGAAATCACTATAGCACTATAGAAAAGTATATTAAGTAATATTATTTATCTGATAAATATTGTTTGGAAAGACGTAGGGAATCCTTTCTTATGCTGCTTGAAAAACCTAGGTTTGTCTCTAGTAGGATAGTTTAAAGAATAATCTTAACTTGCAATATGAAGTATAGACTAGTCGCCTATATAGTATACTTCGTTCTTATAATAAGTTATGTAAAAGCGATTAAGCTAACTTGCTTTAGTAGCCACGCCTGGTTTCCGAATACACCTTGGAAAAGCTTGATCTTCCCCTATCACCAAAAGTACTCGATGTTTATCCGATCTGTAGAGGCACCGCGAAAATTCAAGAATCAGAACACCTAATTAATCATGTCTTTCGTAGAAATATATAGAAGTCCTTTAGAGCTCGTAGTTCACGCACTTCACGTTAGGGCTTACACTATCTTTAACCTTCGGCTAAGTGTGAGGCTAGGTTCTCTGCACTATTCTGAATTTCTGGAATAAGACTCTTATTTGTAATGGGTCTGAACTTCATAGACTGTAAGGAGCGAATCTATGGCTTTATTATTATATTAGGTCCGCTAGGACACTTCATGTATATTATATATTAAGATAGCCCCACACGTCGCTAGAAATCGGCGACCTGTAATTTCGGTATCAACGCGAAATATTATAGACACTTTTACTTTCGGTTATTTAGATTTTGGGCTGTGTCTCTTATGTTCATGGCTTAGCCCCTTAAGTTCTTGAGTGAATACTATTGGTTTTGGTTAATCGACCTACTAATTCCGAATTTCTTTAGATGAGAAATGGTCCTCGTAGATCTGTTGGATCTTTGCCTATTTCAGCATCCCAAACACAAGATTTTTAATAGAAAAAAAGGCGATAACTAGGTGAGCATCCCTCGGTAATTCACTTTCCGTCTGTTGTGTTTTGGGTAAGGCTTGTGCTAACACTTTCTAATCAACACCACCCTTAGTAATACTTCTATAGTCCTAATATGACCTTCTATGGGTTTAGTTTTGCTTTCGAATTCGTTCCTGTTAATATACCCCATTCTTATCCTATTCTTATCTTGAAGAGAATGGCATTCGTAAATAAAGCTTCTACTAGCACACTTGTCTCTCTTCCCAGTGAACTTTTCTATGGTGTTTCTATATTGTTAGATGACCGTGACTTGATTAATTTGAGTTATACTAACCGGGCTCTTTATTATAAGATCAAGTATAATGACTTCGTGACCTATAAAATCGTTAAGGTAAGAACTTCGTAGCCCTTGTCTAGGATTTAAAGCTGATCGTACACATAGAACCATCTATAATTTAGTAAGGAAGGATTATTAGCCATGAAATCCTAGAGTGGCTATTGGAAGGCTATTGGGCGTCATTTTGATATTAATTAAGCGGTCGCTATAGCCGCGCTATATTTAGTTTTAGTCTTAGTATATGTAAATAGTTTCCTCTATAATTAAGGGATTCTATATTATCGAGCGAGGCACGAGATACGTTTGCTGGACGTGCATTCTGGTAGTAAATAAGAACGTGTCTTAAACTTATTCACCGCTTTCTAACTTCTTTTTTGGAACCGCCCGGCAAGGATATGGTGGATCGCGTGTCGTTACTATAATATTTAGATGATATTCTCGTGCTTTGGGTTAATGCCGGTAGTAATTTAGCCTATGATTAGACCAACGATGATTAGGCCGATTTATTGT